CGTGCCTCCCGTCGTCTGCTCGTCCGGGCCCGGCGAGGGAACCGCGGCCCCGGGCATACTGGCCGTGGGCCCCTTCGGAGCCGGCCCCGAGGACGAAGATGACCCGTGGGCCCGGCCGGGTCAGCGAGGAGCGCAGCGAAGCCCCGCGCGCTGACCTCCCTGCAGCCCTGGCCCACTGCCTCGGGGATTCCGTCTCCCCAGGGAGGGCAGACCGGCCCGCCCGCCCACCGCCAAGGGGCCACCCAGGCCAGAGCCATGGGGCCTTCCGCAAACAGCAGGTGTCACCTTCCTGACCGGCCAGGGAGATGTCACACCTGACCAGGCCCCTCTGTCCAGCTCGCTGCCCGCCCTGAGCCGCTTGTTCTGGGTCATCCGCGACCTGGTGCTAGCGGATGGGAGAGTGTCGAGCTGCGTTGTGAAGTCTTTAGTTCTTTGGGTCCAGCTCACTAAAACTAGAGGTCTGTCCGTAGGCGCAAAATGAAACCGCAACCAGGAATGAAGTAGGTAGAAAAGAAGGTTTAATAGGGAAGAAAGGAAAGTACACCCAAAAGACTCAGGCGGGCAGCTTGCCAGGTGGCAGCCGGGCTAGGTACTGGTTAACGTTGCTTTTATTACCAGAGGTCTATTACATTATGCATGTCCTTCCTTTGAGTTGGAATCTGGCCTTTTCTACTGCACTTGCGTACTCTTCTCACAGGTAGAGTGAGGACTTTCATTACCTAACTGCACGTCCAGTGTGAGCCAGGTTTTTTTGGGGTTTTTTTGGAGAGGTTTTTGCTATAGGGTGTGTACATTCACCAGACGGACAGAGACAGACAGAAAGCGAGAAATCACCCCCCAGGGGGAATGGCCACGCCACAATCCCTTCTCCATTCTCCTCTCTGGATCTTGGGCATGCATGCACATGCGCCCAGTGAGAGGTTAAGCCACCGCGTCTGGAACTCGAACCGCGGTCGACTACGTGGGAGTCCAGCGACATAGCCATTAAGCTAACTGCTGGTCCCGTGAGCCAGGTTTTAATTAGACTTCCTAATTAGTTTATCACCCTAGTGGGGATTTAGGGCGTTGACCAAAATGCCCTTTTGCTTTATTTATTTATTTATTTTTTGAAGAGGTTTTCAAAGAGGTTTTCACTATAGGGCGCATGCGATCACCAGATGGACAGAGAGACAGAAAGTGAGAAATCACCCCCCAGGGGGATGGCCACGCAGCAATCCCTTCTCCATTCTCTCTGGATCTTGCGTGCACATGCACACACGCCCAGCATGAGTTTTAAGCCACCGGGTCCAGTACGCAAACCACTGTCGACTACATGGAGTCCAGTGACAGCCATTATGCTATGGTCCCCCCTTTTTGCTTTTTTCTTAGGGCTGCCCACTTATGACTAACTGCCTACCACACTGGGAGCGCCCTGGGCTGGAACAGAAGCTGCTTGCCCAGTGGCATGTGCTGAGTGAGCTTGCCCATGAGTCCTCCCATCCTGGCCAGGCAGCACTGTCACTGACCGGGGTTGCACCTGGGCCTGGCTGGAGCTGATGTGAAGACCCCGCATGTCCGGAGACCCCGTGAGCAGCATGCGCACTGCTGCTCCCACTGCACCCAGCAGCCAGGCGCAGAAGCTCACTCAGTGGTCACGTGGGCCCCTGGAGCCCCCCCCATGTGTGCACAGCTGGCCTGCCCGCCTGCCTCTGTGGGGACCGGCCCTCCAGGGCCTGGTGAAAGTCTGTGGGGTTACGAAGGAAAGGTGGTACAAAAAGGGGGACTGGTGGAGCTGGGCCCAAGGCAGCGGGGGTGATCGAAGGTCCAGGTGGACGTTTCCCAAGGCGGGAGAGCCATCCTGAGACGTCACAGGAGACAGTACAGCATCACCTGCACTGCAAATACCATTCACAAGGTGTCCGTCCGTAGGAAGGTCTGGCCTCTGACGGGGGTAATTATCACGACCACATGCCGTCCTGGTCTTACCCAGCAGTCATAAAAAGACCCAAATGATCTGTTTCCACGTGACTTGGCTGCACCCTCCTCCCAAGGAACAGCTCAACGTCAGTACAGAGACGGTCATCTCTAGCACCCGGCAAGGTAGATCACGCTGTCTGGTACCCGGGGAGAGGTGCCAGGCGTAGAGGAGGCGGGACAATGCCCCAGCATGAAAAAGTAGTCATGGGAATCCTCTGGAACCAGGACAGCTGTTAGACCAGCAGGCCAGGACCTTGTAACAGTTTCAAGATAGCATATTTAGCTTTGCGCAGTGGCAGTATCGTAGCCAATGAGGTTTATCCGAGGCACGATTATTGCTAATTGAAAGATAGCATATTTCACTTCGTTTTTTTAAGGTTTTTGCCTTAGGGCATGTGTGCTCCTGGGCAGAAAGAGATGGTGAAACGGAAAGTGAGAAATCACCCCCAATGGGGAGGATGGCCACTCTGCCATCCCGTCCCCATTCTAGGATCTGGGGCACGCACACACATGCACCCAGCAGGGTTTTCAAGCCGCCAGGTCCTGCACTTGAACCACGGTCGGCCATGTTTGTGCTGTTACACCATCTGCTGGCCCCAACATAGCAGATTTCATTTGACCAAAAGCTTCAGTAGGGAAGTGGGAGTTGGAAAGTTCCTGGCCCAGCCGTGTGGTGCAGTAGTAAGATGAGTGCCCTGTGAGGCATGTAGTCAGTCACAGGTTCAAATCCCAGAGTCCGCCTGAGGACACACAGTCGGGTCTCACCTGGCCAGCAGTGTAGTTTGAGTTCTGGACCTGGCAGCTTGAAAAACACACCAGGAGCCGACAGATAGTGTGGTTAAAATGCTAGACTCCCACATGGCTGACCACGGTTCAAGTCCTGGGCTCAGTGGCTTGGACATTACACTGGCGTGTGTGTGCCCAAAGCCCAGGAGGAAAAGGGGATGGTTTCTCACTCTGTCTCGTACACATCCCATATGACAAAAACCTAAGAACAAACAAAACCCACACCAGGTGCGTGTGTGTCATGCCCAAATCCTGAGAGGAGAATGGAGAAGGAACTGCAGTGTGGTCATACCCCCCGGGAGCTACTTTCATATTCTGATCCCACCCACCCACCCCCCAACGTCTGTACCCTATAGCAAAAATGAAAGCCGCTGGGCCAGCCTGTGGTCTGGTGGTTACGGGAGCTGGAATCCACACGACTGATTGCAATTCAAATCCAGCTACAGATGCTTAAGCCCAACAGACACTGTGTGTGCCCAAAATCTCAACCAGAGGGAGAGTTGGGGAAATGGCTTGGCCGCACCCCGTTGAGGAATGCTTCTCTTTGTCTCTGGCAATTATGTGTGCCCTCTGGCGATAAAATATTTTGCAATTATATGAACATGATGAGTGACAGTCGACTTCACCCTAACCGTGTTAAACGTGAATAAGGTGATCGCTGAGTTGATGAGCAGAGATTGTGCAGCGAGATGGAAAGACTGCTGCCTGCGAGGCGCACTTCACTGTGAAGACAGTCGCTGAGAGGTAGGGTGGAGCTGCCCGGGCGCGGCGCAGCGGGGCAGGATCCGGTGTGCAGTGCCGCCCGGCTCTGGGCCTTGCCCTGCAGTCTACGCTGCCCGTGCACACTCGCCCCAGGGCCTCGCAGACCGGACGATGGAGGAGAAAGGGCTGCAGCCTGGCCAATCCATTGGGGGTACTTTTTCTCTCTCTCAAAAGAAAAACGAACCAGCAGATGGCACAGTGATTCAGGCACTGCGCTCCCGTATAGTTGACTCTGGTTCTAGTCCCAGACCTGGTGGCTTGAAACCCACACCTAGCACTTGTGCTTGCGTCCCCAAAATCCCAGGACAAAAGTGGAGGAGGGATTGTGGCATGGCTATCTCTCTGGGAGAGATAATTTCTCACTGTCTGTCTCTGTCTGGCGAGCACATGTACCCTATAGCAAAAATCTCTCTAAAATAAATTAATTAAACTTAGGGGCCAGCAGGCGGCTTGGTGGCTATGGTACTGGACTCCCACACAGCCGACGCAGTCCAAGTTCCAGACCTGGCAGCTCGTAAGTCACACCGGACACACACAGGCATACCTAAAATCCTGAAGGGATGAAGAGAAGGGATTATGCTCCCCCCCCCGGGGGGGGAGTGATTTCTCTTCTCTCTGCCTCTCTGGTAAAAACCTAGAAAAGAAAAGAAAAGAAAAGAAAAGAAAAGAAAAGAAAAGAAAAGAAAAGAAAAGAAAAGAAAAGAAAAGAAAAGAAAAGAAAAGAAAAGAAAAGAAAAGAAAAGAAAAGAAAAGAAAAGAAAAGAAAAGAAAAGAAAAGAAAAGAAAAGAAAAGAAAAGAAAAGAAAAGAAAAGAAAAGAAAAGAAAA